GGGGGTGTAATTTTCAGAAAAGTTTCGATCTGTTTTCACATCTCTCCACAGAATGAATGTGATGTTGGAAGGTGGGTGGGTTTAGAGCAGTGGTTCCCAACCTTGGGCCACCTGGTTGTTCCTGGACTACAATGCCCAGAAACCCCGGCCCACACAGTGAAGGCTTCTGGGAATTGTAGTCCAAGAACACCTGGGTGATCCCAAGGCTGGGAACCATTGGTTTAGACCACTGGTTCTTAACCTTGGGTTACTCAGGAGTTTTGGACTGCAACTCCCAGAAGCCTTCACCACCAACTGTGCTGGCTGGGGTTTCTGGGAGTTGCAGTTCAAAAACATCCGAGTAACAAAGGTTAAGAACCACTGGTTTAGACAAAGCGATATCTAGGCTGGCCCCATCTCTTTGACTTCCGCTTGCACCAAACTAGCAAACACTGGATCAGCTAATAAGCTGCATTAGAGCATCATTATAAATTCTATGGTTGCAAAAATTCATAATGCTCCCTGGGAGATGCAGATGTAAGCAATATATGTGATGATTCAAAAATTTAAAAAAACTAAAATAAAAACAGATTCCACCTATGCATTTTGGACGCAGCGACACCACCCCCATTATGCAAGTCTTCCAATCAGTCACAGATGCTGTATTAACAAAAGCTTGTTCTCTTCCTTCCTCCCCGCCCCCCCACTTTGGCTCTTCCTCTTAAGTGGAAACATTAGGACGATAAATCAATACTATTTATGAATTGAGAGCGAAATGGGAATCAGTTGAAGGCCTTCTGGACTGGCAAGAGAATTCAGCCTAGAATATCTTAATATCCAGAGGGATGGGGGTGAAATTTAAAGATCCAAAATGAGGCCAGCGAGAGCATCCAAACGTATATCAAGTCACCCGAATCAGAGAGAATCAGACTGGGATTAGATGGGGAAACTGCTTGCATTTTGGACCGCTTGTGGCAGGACCCAGTGTGAGCCATTTCCCGGGGAACAGTACCCCAGTCTGGCCCCAATAGATGCTCAAACTGTTGTCTAGTGCAATCAGACACAATCCATTCTTGATCATACCTTTAGTCAAGGGAAAAAATCCCCAGGTTGCTTTTTATCCTCTCCTCTTGTCTAGATCTATACACCAGATTGCTGTTCTTAGGACTCATTCCTCTCTTCTCCTTTCTCTAAGGTTACATTCTGCTACTACAGTGCTTGCTCCTCCATGAGAAAAGGAGCGCTGCAAGCATGTTGGCCCTGTTTGAGGGCTTCTCTAAGTAAGTTTTTGTGAATCTTTAAATCTCCCTGCACAATATTTCAATGTATTTCTCAATCAATAAAAAGTGTGTTTCCTTCCAGATCCTTTTAACAATCTCCAGAGGAGTCCGTTCTGTTCGATACTGAAAGCTCGGCGCCAAACATCACTGTCTTTGACCAATACCAAAACATCATCCTGATCTCCCTCTCCCCACCAAATGGTATTCGTCATTTCCTATGACCCAGGTTTTGGCCAACGCACCCCAACTTTGCTTGCTTGCTTTGAAAATCATTTCTCCATTGATTCATCTGTTGACAAATGTCTGCGTGTTGCAAAGGATTCTGGGAAACACAGTTTGGGAAAGTTCAATGTGGATTATACAAGCTATTTCCTGATCTGTATCTCAAGCAGAAGTTTGAAAGTGCCTTTTTTGGGCTGCCAGAATCTGGCAGCCAAAAAATGAAGAAAGAAAGAAAGAAAGAAAGAAAGAAAGAAAGAAAGAAAGAAAGAAAGAAAGAAAGAAAGAAAGAAAGAAAGAAAGAAAAGAAATAAGGTTTTCATGTTCTGATCTCAACCCAGGACCCCCGATAAGCATCCGATACACTCTTTGTGGGAAAAGGCCTTCTGAAAGCCGCTACTCAGAAATGTCATTTCTCTTGCACCAGTTTGATCAAGACCGCCTTGTGAAATGGCAAATAATCTTTCAAAGGAATTCATCCAGTGGGAGGAGGGTGTCGGAAAACTCCTGTGTAATCGCTGAACAGCCGGAGGACGCTGGTTTAGCTGAGGCGGCTGGTTCTGGGGCATGCTCAGCAGAAACGCCAAATTCCATCTGGTGCATGTCAGCCTTGGTCTCTACCCGTGCACTTAAGCATCACAAAAAACTGTTTGTGGAGCACAAATCGCTCTCTGCCCTGCATGGGACAATGTGCTAAAATGCCAGAGTGCCTCCGAGCATGTGCAAAGAGCATTTCGAAGGAACTACAGATCTTCTGCTTCAATGCCTGAGATGGGAGGGAGAGCTTCCAAGACGGAACGTTATTCTAGAGTAGGGTGTGATGCATGTCCTGGCTTATTTTTTAAAAAACTAAATAAATAAATTGAGCTCTACTGCATTAAGTAGGTCCTACTTAATATTGCATATTCAGTTTCCAATCCCGAAATCATCTTGCTGCCAAATCAGCAGCCATGGGTTCCTAACAGATTAATAGGGGTTCTGATAACTCTGCCACAAAAGAATCACAATGGTACACCACAAAGGAAGGAGACAGGCAAACAAGCAAGGTGACTCACCACAACCTCGCTTACAGAAGCAGGCCTCGAAAAAGCTGGGTCAGGAATACCCTTTCCCCCTTAATAGATAAACCGTGCCCCATGAAAGACTGATTGTGGCCACTGAGTGGTGAGGGAGACCTCCCTCTGTGCATGCTCAGAGGAACTGTTCTATTAGCTACTACTGTGACAGGTTGCACACATTCTGGAGAGTAAAAAGCAAACAAACCAACCCAAGTCAGGCAGAAGAACTCCTGGATAGTTCAGGGGTTTAGAGATCTCTGGCTGTAGAGCTAGAGGTTGGGAGTTTGAATCCCCTTTGTGCCTCCTCAGTGGGGGCTGGATCCTTTCCAGCTCTGCAGTTCTAACATTGTTGTTGTTGTTGTCACTAAATCCAGGGCTTATCCCAAACGGTTTCTTACAGCCCTTGCTTCCTCCAAACCCTAGATTTGACCACTTCAAGCATAAAAACATCAACCCCCCATGAAACGGTTCGGAGCCCATGTGGTGGATTGGACAGAGTGACCAATGAGGATCCAGGAGACCTGGATTCGAATGCCACCCACTGCCCCTCCTTGGTCACAGCACCGGAGCGGTGATGATGATAAAACCTCTCCTTAAACATCATACGTGTACTGTACTATGAAAACCCCATGAAGGTCACCGTACGTTTGATATGACTTGGTGACACATAACCCCATGAAACGGTTAACGGAATAGGAGCCGTGTTCGCTTCGTCAGGTGGCCACCCTTGTTTTCCACCCGCCTTCACATGGCCATGTCCTAGCTACCTCTGGGAGAGGGCCCATCCCATCATCCCATCCCATCATCGCATGACTTCCCACAACCGGCAAGGGAAGAAACAGCCCGAGCAGTTACATCTACGGCCAGGCACTTTTCATGAATTAATAAAGACCGGCGCTTTCGGTGCCTTGCTTTGCAAGACGATCCTAGTTGTTCATGGAGCAGGAAAGCAGCTTGGAAAAAGGAGGATGCCGCAAATGATCCCCCTCCCTCCTTCCTCACCCCATTTCTGCACTATGTACGAGGATTTTAGTGTCTTCTAATGCAGTCTCCAGTCTCAGCTCCCCGGGGAAGACGTTATGAAAATGCAGTCATAAATTCTTGCCTGCCAGCGAGAAAATGGAGGAGTCCAAAGATGCAGAACCGCCCTGATATCTTGTTTCCAGATAGGGACGTGACGGGTAGGGTTACCCAACATTTCCCCTGGCCCGTAGTTGAAGCCGGGAAAGTTACTGTGCCTCCTGGGCAAGTTACTTTCTCCTCGGGAAAGTTACTTTTCTGGTTGATAAGTCTCACAACTCCCCAGGCAGCATAGTCACTAAAAAAAGTAACTTTCCCAAACTTCAAGGGCACATCCATCGCTTGTGCACAGCTTCAGATCCATAATAACCATCCGTTGTGAGATTTTTCACCTTGGCGATTCCGGATGGTGCTCTCTCTGTGTCCACATCTCTTGCCAGCATTCTGTCTCCTATTGGGGTGCTCTTTGGGGGCTGAAAGTTTAAATGAAGGAGTCTGACCCTTCAGAGAATATAGGACACCCCCTCCCGACTTCACTGGGGAGACTTGTTTGTCCTCTCTTCACCCAAGTGGTTGGAAGGCCAATTCAGAATTTTAATTCAAGGCATGATCTCAAAATATTAGGGTTCCTCACAAAGGACTACAGAAGTAGGCCGCCCTTTAAAAGAACGGACCAGGCCAGGACGGATTGGGGGCCCCTTTCCATCTCATCCAAATAACTCTCAGATTTGGTTCGCCAGCCTCTTTACAAGACTGTCGCCTGCCATAAATTGAAGCTTGTTAACATTCGCGGGCAAATATTGACAATCTCTTCATTTGCAAATGTCAACATCCCCCTCTCCGTGTGCGCGCACGCTTATGTGTGTGTACACAAAGAGAGAAATGAATGGCAACCCTCTTCAGTTGCTGGCGTTCACGAGATTCATAACAATAATGTGCCATCCAGGCCATTCCGACTTAGGGTGACCCTTTCTAGGGCCTTCTGGGTAGAGGAGCGGTTCCCAATCTTGAGTCTCCAGGTGTTCTTGGACTACTACTCCCAGAAATCCTGGCCAGCGTAGTGAGTGACAAAGGCTTTTGGGAACTGCCGTCCAAGAACATGTGGGGGACCCAAGGTTGGGAACCATTGATATCCATGAGAGGTTTTCCATTCCCTTCTTCTAGGGGAGCCCTAGAACGACACTGCAGCTGGCCCAAGGCCACCCAGGCTGGCTCTTCTCCCTGGAGGCACAGGGCGGGATTCGAACTCCCAACTTCTGGCTCAAACAGCCAGATCTCTAATCCACTGAGCTATCCAGCTAGGTTACAGAGGGGGCAAGACCACAGGTTTGTTTTTTACACACACACACACACACACACACACACACACACACACACACACACACACACACACACAAAAAAAACAAGGTCGGGCGGGGGGCTGTGATAGAGGAGCTGTGTTCAAGAGAGCTGGTTTATTAAAGGACATGGGAATCACCACTGCAGGCAGTAGGAGGTGAGGGTCTGTGAGGGGCGGGTGGGAAGATGGGGAAACAGCTGGGAACATCTGGATGGAGTGCCGTTCCAGCTGCCATCCTGAGTCGGAGGTGAAGGCCTGGAAGAGGCCAGAGGCGGAGTGCTCTCTCTTGCTCTCTCTCTCTCTCTCTCTCTCTCTTCCCCGCTCTAAAAGACCGAGGAGGGGCCCTAAGGGACTACAGGCTACAAGACAGAGGTGTCAGGGTAGAGAAACAGGCACCTGGCAAAGAGGGAGAGAAAAACAGAAAGGAAAAAAATAATAATCCTTAGGTGGCCTATAGTTGTAGGGTGTGAGAGCACTCACTCTCCAAAGCAGCCATACAAGCTTCTCTCTGTACCTTCGCTCCCAGGGCTGCCATAAAGTTTGGAAAAGTTTTGGAACTACAAGACCCGCAATCCCCTCCTTCCAGGCAGAGTTTTAGGGGCATCGTAACTTTTTCCAAGTTGTGAGGATCCCTCTGCTAGCTAAGCCCCCCCTCTCCGTGGCTAGGGTTGCGGTCACCCCCTCCGACCACAGGGTTCACACAGTGAGGATCATTCTGAAGCATGGTGGAAAAAGAGGACACCCCACCCACCCAGGAAGGATACCCTCCCTACCCCCCAAGCCTCAGGACGGGACTTGCATCAGGGGCACATAGAACAGTCTAAGGCTCTGTCTAAGTCCAAGCGCTCTGTTCTCTCCCCGTGCGTTAATGCTATCATGGTCTGATCTGCTCCCTTATCCATCCATCTGCTGATCAAATTTATCCATTTTCTTATTCCCACCCCCATGTACCGTCACATCCTCTTTCACGCCCTTGTATTAATCTCTTTCAAAAACTCTGCTCCCCCACCCAAACCGCTGCCACATCCTGGAACTCACATTAAGGTGCTGGACAAAGGATGCCCAGGGGTGGAAAGGTGTGTTGGGGAGTCTCTCACTGGGACTGTGGGGAGGAAGACCTCTGGGTCCCTGGGGCGATGCCTTTGCTCCCATAATATTCCACCACCTGCTTCGGAACCTCGGCCAGGACGTACTTGGCGAGGGCGTTGGCGGGAGCCTGGAAGAGGGTGGGGGGAAAAGAAGGGTGGGGGAGATACAGCTGAATAGGAGAGCACTTTTAAAAGACTTAAAAGGTAGTCCTACAGAGGAAGGTCAGGATCTGTTCTCGATCATCCCAGGGTGCTGGACGTGTCATAAGAGGCTCAAGCGACAGGAAGCCAGATTTAGGCTGAATATTGGGGAAAACTTCTTACCGTATTTTTCCGTGTATAAGACGCGCCCATGTATAAGACGCCCCACACACAAACTTAAGAAATCTAAGTGGGGCTTAGCAAGTGTAGAGGGAAAGGGATCAAAGCACTGCAGGATTGCTTCGATCCCTGCTTTCCCCTCTACTTGTTTTTGTTCTCTCCTCAGCTTACTTCCATGTATAAGACAATCCAAATTGAGATAAAAGTATAGTGGTATACATGGAAAAATACGGTAACTATTTGAGCAGTATGACAATGGAATCCATGACCTTGGGGTGTGGTGATCGCTCCAACACTGGAGGCATTCAAAGGAACATTGGACAGCCATCTGTGATTTGGGGTTGGACTGGATGGCCTCGCCAGCCCCTTCCAACTCAATGCTTCTATGGATGTCAGCAGTGCTGCAACACGGTGGAGTGTGTGTATCTGTGTGTGTGAACACGATCACACTCCTCCTCAAGAGAAATATGAGAAAGAGAAAAGGCGGGAGAGGAAGATGATTAATTTTTTGTTGCTTTGGGGTAGGCTGCGAGGGGAGATGAAGAAAACAGTTTGGTAGTTTCTGAAGGGAGCCGGCTGAAGTGAGAGGCATTTAGAATTTTGCAGCTTCAGGGTGCTTCAAGGACATGTTCTTGCCGTGAAAGGGGGGGGAGAGACTGATGCAGCTTTCCAGGCTTAGCAACATCCCTCTCGCCGCTCTGCCGGCTCTCCCCCCCCCCACCTCACAGCTCAACGGATAAACATGTAAACAAACAAATATTTGTTTAAAACACACACACACACACCATACATTTCCAGCAATCCCAGGGGAGCTGGTCTTATACAAGGTTGCCCCCCCCCCGAAACATCCTCGGGCTTGACAGAGCGAGGTGACAGAGCAAGGTGGATGAACGGGCAGAACGCCAGAAGGAGTGAGAGGGGAAGGGAGCAGAGAAGGAAAGAAACAAAACAGAGAGAGAAAAAAAAATAAAACACAGGTAAAAAGGAATAAGCCAGAAAAGAGCAGAGAGATAATGAGGTCGGTGCAGGACTGGAAGGAGTTGCGTTTTTGAAATGCACGCCCAAGATTTCCCCGAGCCAAAATGGCCATTGACTGGTCAGCCGAACTGGTCAGTCTGGGGGTGATCTTACCCTGGTGATTTTACCCCAGGGAGAACGTCATGGTTCCATGAAGTGGCTATTCTTTTGATTGGCCATCCAGGTTTTTTTCCCTTTTAGATATCTCTATTTTTTTAGTTCTCACTATATATGCCTTGTGAATTGGAATGGGTCGCTGGGGTTTGTTTTTTAAAAGGTTGTTAGCCACCCCAAGCAGTGCCTCTTAGATGGGTGGGGTATAAATATAATGAATAAAATAAAGTCAATAAAATAATCCAGACATGTTTCAGGCCGTGATGACGGGTACGTGAATGAGGACTGGAAAACAGGAATGAAATGAAATGAAATGAAATGAATGAATGAATGAATGAAATGATGAATGAATAAATAAATAAATAAATAAATAAATAAATAAATAAATAAAATCAATGCAGAAGGTACATGTTTAACAGGTGCTGATGGCTCGTGGCTTCTTGAGCGCTCCTGAAATTTCAGTAGCTATGGAGCTCTGTCGTCCCACCTTCTTGAATTCCCGGACAGGGATGAACTGGACGATGTCTCGGACGGCTCGGCCTTCATCGCTCTCTAGCATCCCACGGTCCCCGTTTAGCTCTCGCATGTCGGAGAAGTCAGCATTCCCAATGCCCACTATGATGATGGAGAGAGGCAGGCGGGAAGCCCGGACGACGGCATCGCAGGCTTCGGGCATGTCGCTCACCACGCCGTCGGTGAGGATCAGAAGCACGCGGTACTTCTGCGGGGGCACAAGAGAAACACGGTGAGAGCCAGGTCTGTGGAAACGAGGCGGCTCCAGCTTCTTCCCTGGCATAACGAGGGTCCAAATTGAATTCTGCCTTGCCCCCCATAACGGGTTCCTCCCACCAACATCTCCCATCGCACCGTGGGCATGCTGGTTTTCTCTTCCTCGGCAGCGGGGGCTGCCACTTTGTTGATGATGGGAGCAACGTTGGTGGGGCCGTAGAGCTGGATCTGAGGCAGGCAGCGCTTGTAGGCTTCGATTACACCACTGATCCCTGGGGGAGAAGAAAAGTAAATATTGGGATACAGCAGAGCTTCTTTTCGGCAGCCTCGTGTGCTTTGAACCTCAATGTAACAGGAGAAAAAGGCCAAAAACCAAGTTGTCTCCCAATCCACCAGGCGTGCAGTGGCAGGTATACCAAAGCCTTGTTTTTAATTCTTGCAGGCTTCGGAAACCTGCCCCCCACCCCCAATATGTGGCAAATCCAAGGCTAATTATTATAAATTTCAGCTCTTCCACCCTTTCAACGTATTTTTTCCATTTCCTCGATTTTGCATTTTACAAAGCAGCCTTTCCCAAAGCTGGGGGAACCCCCTGATGCCTTTGAATACAACGCTGATGATCCCCAGGTGGGATGGCTGGAATGATGGGACTTGTAGTCAAAAGGTATACGGAGAGAGATGAAATTCTTCCTTTCCCACAGGTTTTGTTTCTTATGTTTTTCCCCCTCTCTTTTTCCACCTTTATTCTAGCTGTCCTCCCCACCCCTCACCCTGGCTCCAAAGACTGCGAGAGATGTTTTCAGCTATGGGGGGGGGGAAGCCAGTGGGTTGATTAGCCATCTTTTTAATAAATGCATCAGAGGGTCCTTACTTTCGCATTCAGGGTTCTCCGGGTCAAAGTTGATCGCGAAATCGTGAGAGACCTGCCGAAAGAGAAAAAGGAGGGCACTGGATTCAGACAGAGGAGCGAGTGAGATGACTCACAGGTCCCATCCTGCGCCCGTCTCCTCAGGATCCCTGAGCTTACCTCAAAGTCCGGCGGGATCCGAGCACCGAATCCAAAAGCCGGGAACCGCTTGTCACTGGAACAGAGAAAAAAAACTGGGTCATAGCAAAGAACGCGGCTTCCCCACTGGGCAAGTACAATCAGACATTCCTTGGACTGTAACTTCTGAAATTCACAGCTGGCTGGTGGATTCTGGAAGTTACATTATAAAAAAATTTTTTTAACAAGCTCTGGCAAGCCACCCCAGTCAAGATGAACAGACAGGCCGCCGATTTTACCTATCGTAATCCTGGCAGATTTCGCCGACGGAGGACAACGTTTTCAGGTACTCGTTGGGTTCCTTAGGGTTGATGAAGTGAAGGGAATGTTCACTGCGAGGGTCCCCATTGGAGGCAGTAAAGTCAATGGCCACCTGAGGAGAAGAGATGGGCTGTAGAGCCTAGTAGTTGGAGCATCAAACTTGAGAGGCCTGAGTTCAGATGCGAACCATGCCTGGAGGTCCCTGGAAGACTGCAGGCGTGGTCGACTTTGTGTTTGAGTGTTTGCAACCTTGCACGCTGCCTTTAATAGATTTACAACCTCGCATGCTGCCTTTAATAGGTTTGTCTGGGAGTATCTTTCTGGGTTGGCCGGTCACGTCTGTCAGTTTGCTATTTGATCTGTTCAACTGTAAGTAATAAAACTTTTTTATTCTTTCTCCTCCTAATGTCTCAGAGTAGGTTACTGAGATTGTTAAGTGACAAAAAGGGATGGTCTACTCCAGGGGAAACTTGAAGCTGTTCTGCTCTGTGGATCCCTCCACTCTTGCTGTGCAGCTGGAGGAATTTAATCAGAAATTCAAAACTCTGCAATACTTTGTAGAGTTGGCCTGAGACTAAAATACGGGGGGTGGTGGGAGGGGGAGGACCATTGCATCATCAAACTTGAACATCTTTGAGGAAGGATAGCTTAAAAAAATACATGGATACTTTTGCATTCCCTGACTCTCCCATATCACAAAGCTAAATATAACCTTTGAAGGACAAGGGTGGGGAAGACTGACTTTTCCCACTGATCTCTCTCTTGCTCCTCTCACCGCTTTTTGCCAAGTAAATTTTGGTTTTCTTACCGTGAAGGAGATTTGTAAACCACCCATAATGTAATCCAGGAAGGTGTGGACTTTCTCGATCTGGAGAGGAGGGAAAAAATTTTTAAAAATCAGAAACGCCACCCAGATTCATTCCTTTTATTTTAAAACGGACCTCTAAAACAGAACCGTTTTCCTCCCATCTCCACACAACTCAGTGGACCGCCTGCCAAAGGTTGGAGCATTTTACCTTTAGGACTACAAAACCCAGAATTCCAGACACACACACACACAGCTATTCCAGGTCATGGTGGGAACTGCGGTCCAGAAATAGATATTTCCAAATTCTGGCTTTCTCATGAGCTGCGGGACAAGCCCTGCAAGACTGCAGGCAGAGAAGCATCTTTCCAACTACCTGACCCCCACCCCCACCCCAAAATCTGGAACCAAGACCAAAAATTTGGAGAACCCTTTGCATGGTGGATTCTGGGAGTTGTAGTCCATAAGAGGAAGACTGGCAAGGTTGGACCCTTGATGTGAGACAAGAGAGCCAGGAAATATATTGGTGCATAAGATGTCTGGTACAGTTTTTATTATTATTATTAAAATGTTTATGGAGAGATAATAGGTTTTAGGAATTGTTAGGAAGACCTCATTACCCAGCCTAAAAAAGATCGCATGCAGCTTGTCATCCCTATTTAAGGAAACAGATGCTGAAAGTACAGCAGAAGAATTGCTCACAGGTTCAGCCAGGCAGTTAAAAAAAAAACACCAAGCAGAGAATTAAGTAACCTTTTCGCCAACTTAAAAAAAAAAGGTCAAAGCCAATTTCATGGTGTTGTTTCTTTCATGCCCAGTTTTTCCTTGCCTGTACATAAAAGAAACAGCACCATGAAACTGGTTCCAGAACAAAGACTGGAAAAAACCATTTCTGATTAAAGTACGCTGAGAAACCCTTGGAAACGTTTGCCGTAGGTCAGAAAACTGACTGGGTGACGTGGAATTATTAGTACAATTTATTACCTGGATTGCAAATTGTACACCTCTGAGCAATTTGCTTTCTAAAGCGTGACCCGTAAACGTTGAACTCAATTGCATGCAGCTCACCTTGCACTGAGTAAGAACGATATACCCAGAGTTCTTGTAATGCTTCTTCTTTTCTAGATATTTTTGGTTAATACATTCCCATTTCACCTGCCGAGAAAAATAACAGACTCTGATTCTCTCTTTTGTAAACCTCAAAAATGCCAGCTGATCTCTTGAAACAAGGGGAAAGGAGAGAGGCTGAAACATGAATGACGTCTTCTATTACCATGTTTGAAGGAGGCCTCGCTTCCCCCAATCAATGAGGTACAGTGGTGCCTCGCTAGACAGTTACCCCACATGACAGTTTTTTCGCTAGACATTGACTTTTTGCGATCGATATAGCGATTCGCAAAACAGTGATTCCTATGGGGGAATTTCGCTGGACAATGTTTGATCCCTGCTTCGCAAACTGATTTTCGCTAGACGTCAATTTTGACAGCTCCCTCCACTCTCCCAAAACAGATGTTTTCGGGACCTAAACTTCGCAAGACAGTGATTTAAACAGCTGATTGGTGGTTCGCAAAGCCGCTTTCCTATGGCCGATCTTCACTAGACAACGATGATTCTTCCCCATTGGAACGCATTAAACAGGTTTCAATGCATTCCAATGGGAAATGCTTTTCGCTAGACAATGATTTCGCTAAACAGCAATTTCAGTGGAATGGATTATTATCATCTTAGCGAGGCACCACTTTTGAACTCTTTTTTCAAAGCAAGTTACACATCTGGCTGGGGAGCCACAGGTGGGGAGTTCGATTCCTCAGAGTGCCTCCTATGAGTAAAGCCAGCTTGTATGGCCTTGGGCAAACTGCACAGTCTCTGGACACCCCCAGAAGAAGGGAATGAGAAACCATTTCTCAGTACCCCAGTCCAAGAAATCCTTGGAAACTGACTTGACAGGTCATAATTATGATTAAAATTCCAGGTGACGCAGTCCATGGAGAGCAGACTTCCTAAGCTCTGCCCAGCATTTCCAGTCTTCCCAGTTTAAAACTACCTGATCTCCCGTGGAAGCCTGTAACATCGTCTGGAAGTTGGTGCTGAATTCACCAATATAATCGTGCTTTCCGCTGGAGTCATGATCATAAATGACACACTAGAAAGGCACAAGAGAGAGAGAGAAACTCAGGTGCACCATAAGGCAAGAAGCACTGAAAGAGGTGCAAATTCTGATTTTTGGGGGTGTGAAGTTAGCTTGAAAGTCTAGGATCTTGGATTCGCCCCTCCCAGCTGGCTCCAGTGCTTACTGGCTGTGTGTGTGTGTGTGTGTATGTATTGCTCCAAAGAGCAGGATGAGCCCAGATAAATGCACCCATCAGCCTTCTTCCCCTTCACAATGCTTTTTGGTGCATTGATGTTGGACTCCATCCTGCCATGAACGGCAGTGGAAAGCCTTCTCAAATCTTGTGTGCTCCTCCACCATGACATCGCAAAAGTGGACACATCCCACATTTATGGTTTGAGGCCTGAAATCTCAGGGGATGGGATGCTGATGATCCGGCAACCTTAGAACTAGCAACGGGAAAAAGCTGGTTCATAGCTTTCAGCTTTGGACTAGAACTCTCAGCAGCCACACTGAGCTGGGCTATTTGCCCCATATTTGAACACAACACATGCACAGAAACATGAACAGCAGCTCACCCGGATGGTCTTGTCAGGGTCACAGCTGCACAGCGACTGCAGGGAGACACGGAATGATTCCCACCGGGGGCTCAGATTGTTCTTGACCACCTGGTGGACGGTGGGAAGGGAACCAAACACAAACACACTCAAGCGTTATTGGCCGGTTCGGTCTAAACACCTTAATAGAATTGCAGTCGCTTTTCTGCAGATGTGTGATTTATGCATTCCTCCACAAGCTCAGTCGTTACCTTGGAACTTTCCAATTAAAGCTATAAAAGAGTAACCTGCTTTATTATTCAGCAAGCCTTACTACATCCATATTACTATGTATGTGTGTTAGTGACCTTCTGCTTTTGAGTCAGTGACTTGTCCTGCTTTCAAAAGCAACACCATTTATTGTCATATTACTAATGCTGTTGTTATATTGCAGTAAGATGTATTGTTCTATTACTAAGATTCACTCGGCGCCCTGTTTTGTGACCGCCAGCCAGCGAACTGAAGGGCCTTTCCCCATAACACCAAAGCAGAAAGACTGGGATATTTATACAAAATACTTTTTTATTATTGTACCTTTTTCCCTCCATTCCCAGCATACGGCATCCTCTACTCTACTGCGCTCTTGACATGCCTTTTCGGCCCAATCAGAGGGACACAGCCATTCTGGTGGCACCGAAATTGCAGAATGCCCTCCGTAGCAAGAAATGGTGAGTCCTACTCTCACCAATATTTTTACACCGACCTGAAAACAATGTGTTCTAGGCTGGCCTTTGGGGTTGCATTTAAAAATCACAGTCTGTCCATTGCCTTTTTTTTCTTACTGTTTTGTTAACTATAGGAAAAGCAGAGAACCAGCTGAAACAGCAAAATTCCCTAAAGCAATCTCATCTTTAAAAAAAAAGGGAGTTCGGTGGAATTTAATTGAGCAAAGAGAGGCTTTGCTCAATGAAATTCTACCAAACTCCCTCTTTTCGTTAGAAAACATGCCAATTGCTCATTTCCCCCTCTTGTTTTGGTTTTGCTTGTATATTGATAGAAGCATGACTATTAACTACTGACATCTAAGCTAAGCCCAGAAAATTTTCTCGGAACACTTGGGTCACCCCTCGATTTTTAGTTGACCTCTATCCAGCCCCATTAAATCTAATACCTTCCCTTCTGGAAATCCAAGCCTTGTCCAGCCCTCCATTGAAAACAACTGGGCAGCCCCCCCCCCGAGAGCCTCTTACCTCTGTCCTCCAGACAAGATGCTCCGTGTCGTTGGCGCTGACCTTATAGATCTCCAGGAACGGGTCAGACTTGCTGAAGAAGTCCTACAGGGGGCAGGAAAACAATCCGTGCGTCAAAAATGACACGGAGGCCGCCCCAGAAGGAAGCAGACAGCCGGACATATCCAAGGGTGATTTAGTTTCCTAACACAAGCCAACCCAACAGGAAACCTCACAACAATAGCCACATCATGCCTCCCCTTTCCTACATACCACCATCTCTGGTCTGATCTGAGCAGTCCGTTTCCAGAGCTTGGGAAAATGTTGCCTTTTTGGACTACCTTGCCCATCCTCCACAGTCAGCAAGCCCATATGTTTGTGGTCGGGGCCTTTTTAAAAGGCCTGGATGGGCTCCAAGTCTGAGCCCTGCTTAGAGTAGACCTACTGAACTCAATGGGAATTACATTAGCCACGAGGCAGCTCCCGTTGCGAGGAAGAACTGAAATCCTGAACTAATGGTGTCTTTATATGACCAAGTGTATACAAATTGACACTGATCCGGTGCACCCTCCAATTTCTATGAAAAGGGTCACAGATCCAGAAAAGGATCTCTTAAGGCATTTTGACAGATCTAAATCCCAGGGTCGAGCAAGTTCACAGCCTCCTGGAGACATTTTTCTATCCCTGGCGCTCACCAAAAGCTGCATCATTTAAACTGTTAATTTTCTAAAAAGTATTTCCAATTTTTAAAAACTTTTTTTTTGTTATTGATTTTTGGGGCCAGAAATTCTGTTCCAGGATGTTACTAGGAGTATAAGGCTGTTCCTTTTTTTCACCCTCCTCAATTTTTTTTCAGATGGGAAGCAGGGAGATGTTTAGCAAAGTAGGATCCTTATTGGGGGGGGGGACGCATTTCTCCGGCCGCCCATATTTCACTCAACTCTGTTATAATTGTCTCTCTGTGTGTTCTCTGTGCTATCAATCCAGGACCTGCTTACAGCAACCCCAAATAGGGCTTTCAAGAAAGTCAATGAGATATTTAAGGAGTGGCTTTTACCCGTTCCGCTCCCCCACTCACTTTCCGTGGCTGAGCAGGGATTCGAACCCTGTTTCGACTGAGCCCTCGTCCACCACCCTATCCACGACACCACACTGGGAATCTCCAAACCATTTGTCGGGAAGTGCATTTTTAAATGGCAGCCCTGCTTTGTAAACAGATTAAAAGAAACCGCAACATCCGAACCACTTAATCTGTTTTTCTTTTCTTTTTTTAATGCACACAACTGTACTGCAGAAACATGTTCTAGCAAGCCATGAGTTCCCCGGGGTGCTCCGCCCAGGGTTGTGTGGCGTACATGTTAAAAAGATGCGCACAGTACCAGTGGCAAGAGCTTTAGGCAATGACAGCAGCTGGCTGAAATTCCCATGAGAACATCAGTGAAGAAACCATCTCAAACGGAAAAGCCATAATAGAACAGAATGACACTCTCGGCTTATTTGATATATCCTGCAATCTGCTTTGAGACCCAGTGCAGTTTCAGGCACCTGGATTTAAATTTTTGTGGCCTGCTTTCTTTCCCAGCCAGGATTACTTGCTTGCACTTTCCTCTCGTCTTTCTTTCAGAAGCCTCTGATCGGTGATGTAAACACCTTTTGTCGAACCAAAGTGACAATTGTTCACAAACACTGCAAGTTTTCTAATTTTTTTGCTTGTTGGTTTAAAATATTTTCACCCAACCTTTCTCCTCCAAAGGACCCCAGGCATGCTTCCTACGTGCTTTCCATTGGCTAAAGAAATGGCTGCTTTTGACATTTGACAGTGCTCTTTTGCTCAGAGACAACGAATTTTGGTAAAACCCAGGAACAGGGCTCCTCTTGAGGAGAACGGATGCCCTGATTTCCCTCTACCTTGTCGTCCAGCTCTTCCCCGTGAAACTGGAGTTGCACAAATTCGTTGGTTCTCGAAACCTCCTCAGCTTCAATCTGTCAGCAGAAAACAAAATCAATTTTTAAAAAAAAATCATACAGACATATGGAGATTATGGGTAGAAAGAATTTCCCTATAGTTTTCATCTTGAGAGACTACGGTAACGTGCCCTGTATCTTGGAACAGCGTCTAGTGTGGCTGAGAAGGCCAATTCGAGAGTGACCATCCCTTCCACACTGAAGACAAATGCAATCTGTATCCCACCCAGCTCCCTGATTTGGCTGCTTTTGGGACCGCCTCTTTCCCTCAGCCTGCTGGACAAGGGTCTCTTCAAATTGGGAGAGGCCGTGATGCACCGCCTGCCTCCACGCTGAACGCTCAGAGGTCAGGGTTTCCCATCTGTTGAGATCCATTCCTAAGGCCTTCAGATCCCGCTTGCAGATGTCCTTGTATCACAGCTGTGGTCTCCCTCTTGGGCGATTTCCCTGCACTCATTCTCCATACAGGAGATCTTTTGGAATCCGACCGTCAGCCATTCTCACAACATGCCCAAGCCAACGTAGATGTCACTGTTTCAGTAATGTATACCTGCTAAAAATTCCAGCTCGTTCTAGGACTACTCTATTTGGAGCTTTGTCCTGCCAGGTGATACCAAAAATCCGTCGGAGACAACGCATATGGAAGGTGTTCAGCTTCCTCTCCTGCCGTGCACAAAGGGTCCAGGACTCACTGCAGGACAGGAGTGTGCTCAGGACACAGGCTCTATAGACCTGGATCTTGGTCTATGCCGTCAGCTTCTTATTGAGCCAGACTCTCTTTGTGAGTCTTGAGAACATGGTGGCTGCTTTGCCAATGCGTTTATCCAGCTCAACATCTAGGGAGAGGGTGTCACAGCTCCTCAGAGACCTTCTATATTGCAGGCCTTCAGCTGGTGTAAGGGTGCGTCCTAGTTATATTTACTTACGTAGTTGCTACCTATCTACTTACTTACCAGCACTGCATGCATTTCAAAGTTCTTTAGGGTAGGCCACTGCTAAAACAAACAATCAGGACCAGCCCTATCCTGCCCAGTGAGGTGGCTGCATCAGACAGCAGATGGCAGACATTGTCAGGATACAGCAAATCATTAGGTATTACGTGTGATTTGTCTGGACTGTATTTTCAGTGAAACGTTGGCTGCTCCCATCACTAAAACGACTGAATTGCTTTTGTATATTATGGGCTTTGACTTGCAGTAGGTGACTGCTGGCTATTGCTGCACCTCAGGTGGCAGAATGACTTGGACTAGCCCCACAAATGGAGTACCCCGTAGGAGAATTTGCCCCTTAATTTCATTCACGTGGCAGCCAATATTGGGGCTCTGCACAGGCTCAGAAGCTCCCATAACTTCCAAGGCTGAACTCGGATACTAAAAATACAGTACACTGGTGATGGGGAGAGCTGCTCCCAGAATCCCCTAGCTAGTGGCCCTGCATGCTAGGGGTTTCTGGGAGTTGTAGTCCACGACAGCCCATCCAGGCTTTCAGACTGTGACCCCACCCCGTCTCCTGCTTCTGTCTGTGCGTCCTGCCTCCCCCCACCTGTTCTCTTTGTCCTTCCCTGTCTCCCTCTCCACAGGTATAATCATCATCATCATATTTATTCCCTTCCTCCTTCCCCCTCCCCTTGGGATTATGCCCTACCGTGATGGTTGACTCCTCCACAATCTCTCCGTTTGTCAACACCAGCAGTTTTGTAACCTTGGTCTGCGAGACAATCTGTAGAGTAGTTGAGTCATGGGGGAAAAGGAAAGGACAGAATTAATTGCATGGTGAAAGAAAGAAAGAAAGAAAGAAAGAAAGAAAGAAAGAAAGAAAGAAAGAAAGAAAGAAAGAAAGAAAGAAAGAAAGAAAGAAAGAAAGGGGAAGGAAGGAAGGAAGGAAGGAAGGAAGGAAGGAGAAAGAAAGAAAGAAAGAAAGAAAGAAGGTCCCTCTTAAATAAAATCAGACTCTGTACATTTCCACATATGTGAAGAAAGAGATTCAAAACCTGGAAATCTCCACTTTCAGTTTTAAGAAAGACTGCCAAGTTTCTAGTCCTCGTGAAAGGCAAGACTAATGCAGGGAAGCAGTGTGAAGAAAACAAAATGAACTTTGAAAAATTAAGGCTTTGGACAGTCTTCAACTATTACATCTAGACTCTTGAGCCAGCATCATCACTAGTTCAAGACACTCATTACCTGTAGCCAGTTAGCTTCTTGGGTGAAGTTTCATTTCAAAATTAATCAACAAACACGGGAAAATGTGATCTAATGAATAGCACGTTCTAGTTGATTTCAAATGCTACTTATTAGAGGCATTTTGATAGGATTTTTCTCCCAAGTCTTTATACCGTTCTCTTATCAGTCCTAAATTGCAAAAGAAATACCGGTCTGTTTTGTCTTATACATTTGTGTATTTTCAAGCCACAACATCAGGAGGGGTTACTAAAGTACTTCTCTGTATTCCTTCTCTCCTCTTCCCATACCCCAGTATGCTGGTAATGACAAAACAATGCATTAATAACGGGGCAAGATGCCAAATTGCTTTTATGGATTGACAATGACCATCTGTTTCACTGGAAGTAATTAGCAATGCAAATGTCCTTTAAAAAAAATAATAATGGGGGCTGAGAGGATACCTTGTACTCCACAAGGTAACTTTTCAGAGACTTGTTTTTTTCCACAGAAAGGCTGCTGGATGAATTCAACTATGTGAACAAGTCCTTTCTGTATTTATTTATGAAATTTCCACACTGCCCATCTAGTGGCCGGTCCCTGTTCTGGTCCGTTTCCAACAAAAGACATAAATATAAAAACCCATCCCTCCGCCTGATCCGCAATGATGTCAAAACAATCTCCCAAAGAATCCAAGATGGCGGCCATCGACCCCAAAGCACAATCCAACACAAAGCCTGGGAACGGCCATTTTTGGACTTAGGCTGCGCTTTTAACGCGAATGGAAGTTTTCGTTATCCATGTATTAACGTAACTATGATCTTGATGTGAGCGGAACAGCATAAAATAGACTTATTCCTGTAAAGCAAACCAATAAACACACTTTTGTTTCTGGAACACCTTTTGTGGGATGTAAAAAATGCACTGGGGCCACAAAGCATCCCGGAATATTACAGTTGTAAAGGGGCCTATAAAGCCATGGAGTCTAAACCCATTGCTCAAGGCAGGAATCCAAATCGAAGCAGATCGGACAGGTGGTGGTCTACGTTTCTCCTGAATGCCTCTCCAGTGTTGAAGGTCTCATGCATTCCATTGTCGTACTGCTCTAACAGTTAGGAAGTTTTTCCCGATGCTCAGCCAAAATCTAGCTTGCTGACACTTGAGCCCACAGGTCGTCCACATCCCCAATTTTACCTCACACCAGACCTGAACCGCTAGCTCTTTTGTCAGTCCACAACTTGAACTTTCAGTGAGCTTTCCAAGGTCCTGAACTGAGTTTGAGCACAGCCTCGGAGAGCTCCTCTAACGTTCCGACCGAAAGGCGGAGCGTCTGTGGTTCATGCCAGCACGTGGGTCACGGACCACCAGCACAGAGAGCGGGGGTCCCTCCAGAGGCACAGGCTACCCTACCTGTCCCAAGGTACACTCCACGACCCCAAGCAAGGCGTCCTCTTCCAACCCAATGTTTTCGGCGCTTTCTCCATTGCCGTCGTAGACTTCGAACTTCAGGTGCTGCATCTCCTCGAAGAAATAATCCAGGGCAAAGACGTGAGCGAAGACGGGATTCTGGGACTCACGGAGGACCTCAGAGCGGCCCACCTGGTGAGGAAGGGAGAGGTGAGTGTTGGTGGCAGAAGGTCTCATGACATGAGCCGCGAGTGTAGATTGTTTATGGCACTTTAGACAGAAGTAGGAAAAACATTTACTTAGCAAGGGTGGCGGAAAGGGATCAAAACACTGCAGGATCGCTTTGATCCCTGCTTTCCCCTCCACTTGTTTTTGTACTCTCCTCAGCTTACATCCGTAAGACGACCCTCAATTTTTAGTCTAAAGATTTTAGACAAAAGTATAGTCTTATACACGGAAAAATGTGGCATGTCATTTGGCATTTAGTGAGTAATCTTGCCTCTCTTGCAAACTGATTTTAACAGCATGGTTTTTAAAAAATCTGTTATTTTTTTGTTTCCTCTCTTTCAAAGGGCTATAAACCGCACTGGGCAGAGAAGGTAGACCATAATCTATGTGCACAGCTTTGAAAGAGTTTGTCTTCTCAGTTGTTTTAGAAGATGGAGCCATAAAAATCCTTTCTCTGCATAAAGAATTTGAGTCAGATGCATCTGAGCAAGACATTACAAACACAGGCAAAGGCGGCACTGCTGCCCAGTTCTATTCCTAAGATGCAGACAATAACGAATATATTTCAAAATCAATGGGCGGCTAAGCCTACAGCCGGCTAATAGTAGTAAACTGAGTCTTAATTATTGAAAGATTCATCCTTGTAGTCAAATTAGCACAGTCTCTGTAACTGCCCAGAGTAGTGCCTCAGCCACTAGATGAGTGGTAAAAAGTTAAAAATCAATCAATCAATCCATCAGGCTTTCTAATAATGGGAACCTCATAGTAATATGGCTGAGGGAAGACGATCAAAGTTGCCAGCTTCAGGTCATAAATAACCGAATGTTTTTAACATTTTAAATTTGTTTGAAGTTTATATTTCATATACACCCATAATTTTAAATTGTGCAACGCTCTGATACATATAAAGAAAGAAGGATAGTAACCAAGCGCGGGCTTGATATCATATACAGCCATAACCTATCAAATCAGAACACTGAGACGATCCCCCCCCCATCGGTTCTGTGCTTCAAGGCATTAAAAGGTAAAGGTAAAGGTTCCCCTTGACAATTTTTGTCCAGTCGTGTCCGACTCTAGGGGGTGGCGCTCATCCCGCTCTTCAAGCCATAGAGCCAGCGTTTGTCCAAAGACAATCTTTCCGTGGTCACATGGCCAGTGCGACTTAGACACGGAACGCTGTTACCTTCCCACCGAGGTGGTCCCTATTTATCTACTTGCATTTGCATGCTTTCGAACCGCTAGGTTGGCGGGAGCTGGGACAAGCGACGGGTGCTCACTCAGTTGTGTGGATTCGATCTTACGACTGCTGGTCTTCTGACCCTGCAGCACAGAGGCTTCTGCGGTTTAGCCCGCAGCGCCACCACGTCCTCAAAGGCATTAGTCACAATTAAAACAATATATTCCACACAATTTAAAATACAGGAAGAGAACGATATTTTGAAAAACGCATCTCTTAGGCAGAGGTTCAGGCGCAGACTCTCTCCCCTTGATGCCACGGTATCGTGGTACTATCGTGTATCGTGGTACCTACCTCATTCCACTGCCCGTCGCTGAGCAGCTGGAGAATCATGCACGGATCCGGTTTGACGCCACTCTCCCGTTCCGGAAGGCTCCAGCAAGAGACTCGGAGTTCCACCCGGGACGCCCCGAGGGCCACCGGCTGAGAATCGATCCCTTCCGACATGGCGCGGCCTGAAGCAAGGTCAAAGGTCAGAGGCGAAAAGAAGAGGAGAAGAAAGCAGATGGTCCAAGAGAGCGCCAGATATATACAAACACGTGGGTGTCTGTATGTCTTCACTTAAAAACAACAAGAATAGCAAGGATAAGATTTTTCGGAAGCTTGGCTTGGAAAAAGCACTCCACACATGCTCAGAGGCAAACACACGCCATCCCAGGCTGAGAAACGATGCTGATAGCAGGATTTAGAGAGATGGGATTTATTTTTTCCCCTTTCCCCATTACATGCCCTTCTTCTCTGCCCAGGATTCGGAAACTGGAGTGAGGACCAGCCGGGGGGGGGGCTTATGGTCACATCCCAGCTGGCATTAGGACCTCGGGGCCAAAATGGTGCTGATTCAGTCCCCCCACCACCACCACCCTCTTCCTCCTCCTGATTTATTACACTGCGGCCTGGACAGCTAGTCTGGCTTCCACCCGGGACCTGAGTCAGGTCAAAACTGGGATGCTCAGCCAGTGGAAAAGGTCTGGCAGAGAAATGTTTGTCCTTTTTTGGTGGGGGGGGGGAGAATCCAGAATGAGCGGTGTGCCTGTATGTGCACGTGAGAGAGGGAAGGACAGAGAGAGAGAGAGAGAGAGGTAGGCAGGCAGGCAGGCAGGCAGAGAGATGTCGGAGCTGTCATGAGTCCTGTTTCAAGGGACATGCGCGTTGATTTTGGTGTCTGCAAAAGAAACACACATACGTTCATTCAAAGCGCTCCACCCGTGGTATTCCTGACTATTTCAGTAGCAGCCGATCTATTATAGCAACTGGGGGGGGGGCATTGCCCTACTTAAGGGTTCGGCTATCCCTTAAAACGCAGGAAGCCCCCCCTCTGTGTGTGAATGCTTTCGTCCTCGCCTGTTTTTGCACGCATGTGTGCAAGCGTGCATGTATGGACGACACCCATTTTTGCTCTGGGTTTACGGCTGTGCAATCCGCCGCAGAGGACGCCAGCCGCTTCTGGACTATTTAGATAGGCTTGCAAGGTAGAACCTCCATGTTTCAGGGCAGTGTACCTCTGACTACCAAGTGCTGCAGGTAAGGGGTTGCATGGCAGAGGAAGGTGGCTTGTTTCTCTCCCTCTCCTTCTCCTGGTGCTCCTGGGAAAAAATTACGGATCTCTCTCTGGTTGGAAACAGGGCGCTGGACAAAATGAACCTTGGGTTCAGTCCAGCAGACCTTTTTCCAAAGTCCAATCTGATTCATTTGGAGCACTGCGAGGGGTTTCGGCCAAAAAAAATAAGAATTAAATAAATCAAAATTCAAGTCATTCCTTTATGGGCATCAAGTCACTCTTCCACTGAGCAAGGGAAAACATCAGAGCATACATAGATATATGTTGCTCTCTCTCTCTCTCTCTCTCTCTCTCTCTCTCGCTCTCTCTCTCCCCCTTTTTAAATGTTCCTATTTGTGCCTTGGCAAAAACCAGGCTGAAAGGATGAGAAAATGTTTTTAAACTTGGCAGTTGTGGCTTGGACTACACCTCCCAGAAGCCCCAGCTAGCATTTCCAGAGGCTGTGACTGAATGGTGATATGGTGACGGATGGATAATGGGAATTGTAGTCTACAGAGGTTATCCACTCAGGCAAAGCCATCTTCAAAGTGTGAGGGCAAGAATCGATGCCCAACGAATCATCCCTGTGCCCACAGATTGGAAAAGTTACTTTTCTGCCCTTTTAACATCCCAAATCTCCCAGCCAATATGACCAGAGGCTACTACTGGTCCAAAGGTACTGCAAGCAATAATCCAAAAAAGTAACTTTTCCAAACACCACCTGTTAGCCTCTGTATGAGTCCCTGTTCTTAGAAAAGGGCTAATCCTGCTCTGCTTTCAGTTCTAGGGAATCCACTCATCCCATATACCCAGAGGCAATGCTATCCTGCTAATTTGAACACAGCCTAAATTAGAACAGCATCTCCTACAGAGATCCAACAGCCGCCTTCTCTAAATGCCCATAATTCAGCCACATGTCTGCACTGTGGTTTTATTAGCTGTGATGTCATTACGGCAAGATTTTGTTCGTTTGTTTATTTATGTATCTAAAATATTTTTTCACCCCACCTTTCTCTTTATAAAGAACTCAAGGCGACCAACCTGGTTAAAAGATAGTCTTTAATGCTAAAATCAGTAAGTCTACGAATACTAAAAAAGATCCAACACATGTCGCACTTAAAAAATGGTAAACCAAAGTAAGATCGAAAACACCGTCAAAGCAGAAAGGCACAACTGTCCATTGAAAAACCCCACTCGGGCAGCCGGTCACCGAGGGAAAGCTTGCTTGAAGAGAAAGGTCTTTGCTTGCTGATGGAAGGACAGACATCCGGACCCCCCACTGCGCTGGAGAAGCAAATCCTCCTCCCGCAACTAGTAGACCCATGGTACAGCATAATATTATGAAAGAAGGAAACTGGTACACGTGGCTATTTAAAGAATGGCTGAGCTCGGAATGAAATGGTCTGGAGCCGATTTTGGAAGCGTTTTTGAGGAACGGTGGATCCCAGAACTCCAGCCAACCAGCCATCACGGAGCTTGGGGGGATAATGGGATCTGTAGTCCAACACTTACTCCACCCCACTCTAATTGCATCACAGGGAATGATGAGATGGTGCTATCTGAGGTTGGTGTACTCTGGAATGGACAACCTTATTTGTGAGAGAGCGTATGGGCGTGGCTGTTGGGACATGTAGTCCTTTCTGAACCACAACCCTACTCCATTAGAAATCCGTTAGAAATCCTGCTTCCTGGGGCGTAGAATGTGTGTCCTCAGTTTCTACTAAAACTGGGATCTTTTCCAGCGTTGGAGGACAGGGCTGTCCCAATAAAGGTGGCTACCCGAAGCAAACACCAAGACAGTATACACACACACACACACACACACACACACCATACACCTCTTCCACCAACCCTGAGGGCAGCGGGGTGATTTATGCGCAGCTGAGAAGTGGATTCCCCCACTCTGCCCAACGGTAGGGCCACCCTGTTTAAGGATTTTACTCCAGTGGATCCGATTCCATCCGTGACACTTCGAAAGTTAACCAAAAACTGGAGAAACGAGTAATATACGGAGAAGAAAAGAGTAACACAGAGACATGCAGACGCACGACACAAAAGAGAGAAGGGATGTACAATTCATGGAGTTCCCCAAAGCCATAACTGAGAAACAATACGGAGCACAGGAGACATGGACGGGACCAACCTCGGTACGATCACGTCTAGTTCGTGTTAGGTGTGCAAGCCTCAGAGAGCCACAGAACACTTCATCAGGAAGAACTCATAATGGGAATGCTTCACAACCTCAACTCAGGACTTTCTCTCTAAGAGCAATCAATCAAATCCCCACAAGAAGTTTACCAGCAGAGCCAAATACAAAGACCTAGACTTTCAAGAAGCCGCATATACAGTACTGCAAATGGAGGTTTCTTTCGGGGACCCTGGCTAATGGCCGACGATTGATCGATCAATGAATCAATCAATCAATCCCCCATTTACTGGTCTAACCAGATGGTCACCACCACCATGAAATGTTTGCAGCAATCAATCCCTTCATTTTATTTTGTGTTGCATAAACATGCTCAGTTTTCCTGCCAAATTCTCTCTGGCAAAGAGCCCTGTGGAGCTCAAAAGCTTGCACACGTGAAAGCTAATGAATATCATTTTGCTGACATTTCAGTTGCCATCTCCAGGGACTGCCAAAGCCCCATTTGCTGAACATATAATAAGGAGAAGCTAAAAGAAAAGAGACATCCACCATCCTAAGGCATCATAGAATCATGGAGTGGGAAGGGGCCTCTTAAGGCCATCCAGCCCAACCCCCTGCTCAGTGCAGGAATCCAAATCGAAGCAGATCTGACAGACGGTTGTCCAATATTCTCTTGAAGGCCTCCAGCGTTGGAGTGCTCACCACCTCCTGAAATCATTGGTTCCATTATCGTACTGCTCTAACAGTTAAGAAGTTTTTTTTCGGATATTCAGCTGACATCTGACTTTCTGTAGCTTGAGCCCATTATGACATTTCCAGCACCCTGGAATGATCAAGAACCGATCCTGCCTCTCATCTCTAGGACTACCTTTCAAGTATTTAAAAAGTGCTCTCCTGTCTCCCCTCAGTCTTCTTTTCTCAAGGCTTAACAGGCCCAGTTCTTTCAGTTTTTCCTCCTAGGGCTTGGCTTCCAGTCCCCTGATCCTCCTTGTCGCCCTCCTCTGAACTTGTCCCAATTTGTCAGCATCCTCCTTAAAGTGCAGCGTCCAGAACTGGACACAGTACTCAAGATGAGGCCTAACCAGTGCAGAATAGAAGGGGACTAGTACCTCATGAGATTTGGGAACTACGCTATGGCTAATGCATCCTCAATTAGCATTTGCCTTGTTTGCAGCCACATATCCCTGTTGGCTCACAGTCAGCTTTCGACGCCACTTACATAACAGCAACGTTGTCGTGTGAAGGAGCTACCATAGTCCTGCCTGCTGCACAAAGCATGTGGTGCGAGCAGAGCTCCGACACACCCAAACAAACACACGGGAGCCTGGGCAGAAAAATACGGCGGGCGAAAAGCTCGGACGCGAAGACTAACGTGGGGGAAAATAAGGAAAAAGGAACCCTGGCTATGGAAATGCAGAAAACAACAATCCAATGAAACACTCCCTATATGCCCGTCACAGAGCACCGGTGCTTGTTAAAATGGACAATCATGTACAGGACTGAAATTTAAAAGACTCCTTTTAATCCTTGTTAATCAGATCCTACTTATTAGGAGCACATTCTCACGCCTCGGTGGGTTATCCTGGCTCAAGCGCTCTCCCTTGGCCGCCGAACGGGAAAACTGTCTTTTTTTCAGACTATAACAAGCAAGAAACACTATTGCTGGGAAAAGCCACTGTTTTGAGCTCTGCTTTCAAGCTTGGCTCACCTCACACGACTTGTGCAGATCGACAAAAAAAAAATCATTTGGGAACATTGACGGAAACCAAGTTTGGTGGTGGCTAGTAGAACAGAAAAACGGGACCCTCTCAGTTTAGTGTCAACCTTGAGGGGGGGGGACCCAACATAGACAGTTGGAAAACCCAATCTGTAAGAGTGGATGCAAACATGATCAACATGACAAATGTTTGCCTCTTCGGAGTACAACTCTTGACACTCTGAGAGTGGCCCTCTGATAAAGTCAATTTTCTGAGCTCTCTCCCCCCCCCCCAAAAAAAAACCCATATCAAGGGAATCTCAACATCAGAAAGACCTACATACATAGCTGGAAAACTTCATAATAAACGAAAGGGAACCGAATCATTCAACCCTACCAAGGTTGCACAATGTTGTCACAATATATAAATCACGCTTGTAAGGAATGTACAGTAACCTAACACGACACACAAGAGATTCTGAGCATGCGCTACGGTTTGGGTTCAAGATTTTATCCTCGGACCTGCCTTGCTTTGAAACTAAAGGAGGCTTCATTTTGCTATCATGGTTAAGTAGCTGCCTTCAAAAGCGCAAAGGACCCACCACGAATCAGTCCAACCTCCTTTTTAAAAAGCCATTTCAAGCTAGTAGGGACCGCAAGTTTGCTAAAGAGTTTATATGTTATTTGAATTATTATCTTTTTTTTGCGTTAAAAAAAATAATATCCCAAAACTTTCCTAGGAATACTCTCCACTGTGAATTATGTGCAGTTTATGCAGCATTAAAAGAGACACAAGACACCGGAAAGGGGAAATCCATAATCTTGCAGTTAATGAAAGCCGGCGAGAGTCCAGGACCTACAGTAAACAATCTCACAATTGGGATAATGCAATATGAACAGGGCTCAGGTCACCCAACTGAGCCACAAAAATGCAACCGGCACCGGGGGGGGGGGCGAGAGACATGAGTTATACGGACACCACAGCTGCCACCTCCCAAATGTAAACTCCCTCATCGGGGTCACATAACGAAGAGACACATGGCAGCAAGGTGGGAGGGCAGGTGGTCCTCAGCACAGCAGAGAAACATGTAAGATATTTAAAATATATGACATTCCGGCCAGTGAAACAGGAAGGAGGTTTAAGGGAGAGTCAATCTACGCGCAAACCTGAAAATCAACCCGTTTGGCTCAAGGGGCAGGGGGGGTAAGGTCTCTGCCAGCTGCCGAGCACCGTGGCATTGAAGGAGGTGGGTTTGAATTTCTCCCACGGAGGGCACGGTTTAAAACACAGCATTTTACTTTTCCTTCCTGGCTCGCTTTCTGGACATCGGTTCGGGGAACCTCCATGAACAGAAAAAGTGAGAAACCCATACTTTTCATAAACAACACAGGACAAAGCATAGCAGGTGCCCGGGAACGAGAAAAAAGGGGCCACTGGGGTGGCGTGCCAGGCCCACGGCGGCCACGCCACTAGGTTGACCCGAGGACCCCTGCCACGGTCCGGCTCTGCCCCACCCCATGGGGACAGTCCTGCTAGCGGAGGGGGGGGCAGAGCCTGCCTTGAGTGCCAAGGCAGAGAGAGATACCCTTCTGCAAAGGGGGGGTATCCACAGGGGGCCCCCCAATGCCCCGGCAGGCAGGGGCAACCCAATCCAAAGGGCTGTGATGTGGGGGGCTCTGGGTCCCCCAAAGGAGAGGGAGAGGGAGGGAAAGAGAGAGACACCCCCATCCATTTTCACAGGTCTCCAAGTGCCAGCCAAGAGCATCCTCCTGGCACTGCAGGCAGGCTCGGAGTGGGACATCCCTGGTACTACCCCCCCCTCCTTGCAGGGAAGAGGCAGGGAGAGTCCCAAAAACCCTTACCTCTTCTCTTCTCTCTCTCTCTCTCTCTCTCTTTCTCTCTTTTTTCCTTCTTCTTCTTTTTGGCACTCCGCGGAGCCCCTGATCGTCCCCCGTGCCTTTCCCGTCCCGCGCGATCTCTCTCTCTCTCTCCCTCTTTTTCTGCTGCTGTCACGCTCCCTCCATCCCGTGTCCTTTTTTTTTGGCTCCTCCCCCTCCCGAGACTCCGCAGTGCAACGGGGCTGGGGGGGGGGGAAGAGAGAGAGAAAAGAAACGAGAGTCCATGAGGGCGGAACACAAGCCTTCAGGCACATCAATCTCGGAAACAGACGTCCAATGGGATCACAGGAATGCCCCCCCCCATTTGTAAAAGGGTTAGAACAGTCAGAGACCTGGATGTCAGATGCATCCTTTACAAAGCGTAAGGCTATACTCGTGGGCAACAGGGGAGCAGTGAGGGCGCTTTTGGGCAGCTGAGACTCTGGCCCATATAGGATCTCAGTAACCCCCCAACATGGCGCAGAATAACTGGCTCCGTACTCCTGTCCATATACTGTAGATGAGGAGAGGGGATGAGGGGCCGTGGCTTACCCTTCGCCCCCAGATCACCTAGCACAGCCTTTCCCATACTAGTACCCTCCAAAGAGGTTGGACTACCCTCCCCATCATTCCCCATCAGCAGTGGCATCTGGGTTGGAAAAAGATTGTCACTGGAGCAGTATTTGAACCAGGAACCACCCAGCTGCTGAGCTGTAGGACAGAACTTTCTGTTTGATAAAAACACAGGTGGTACATGCCATTAAAGGACAATAAAACCAACCTTGGTTGATGGAGAACAGGGAGAGGGAACCTCTAGAATCCAATTTTGGGGACCCAGGATCCACCACAGCTGCACCAGATCCCCCAACTCCGCTTCCCAGGTGCAGTTGGAAGTCTAGTTCAACTTTCAGAGAACCTTTTTTTTAGAGGGTGTAACAGGCTACACCCTACTGTAATGGAGAACAGCCACTCCTGGAGGCTTCAAGGTATAGCCATGGCAATTTTCCTGCTAATTCCTCCCCCCAGCTTGGAAAGAATGCACAAAAATGGCTTTTGGGCTCTACACCCCCTGCAGAACTTCCACCCTTAAAAAAAAAAAAAATCAAAATACTTTAGAGCGATCAGGAGCCTTAACGACTCAGGACGCCCGAGAACTCACGCCTACCGGGTACGCGAGCGCACGCCTGTGACGGAGGCGCTGGTAGAGTGGCCGGCGCCCCCCGCGGCCCCCGCCTCACAAAGAGGGTTGCGGCAATAGGAGGTCCGGTTCGGTCCCCTCCTTCCCCCGGCCATAACCACCGACGAGCAGGAGCGAAGCAGGTCTCCCTCCTCAAAGGAATCGAAGAACTGAAAGAGAAAAAAGCTTGGTGAGCACAGCTCGGTTGCCCTCCGACTCCGGCCGTCCAGGACAAGGATCTGATGCCGGCCGGCCGGCCAGCCAGCCGTGGGTCCCGCGCAAGTTGGGATCGGTAACGACCGTCTCGTCGCCTCCTGGGTGGGGACTAAACGAATGGAGGCAGCTCTGGGCAGAATGGGGGGCAACGGAAAGGAGAGGGTGGTGGACTAGACCCCGGAGGACCTGGGTTCGAATCTCCCCTTGGCCACGGTGGGGGGGCAGTGGTGATGCCACCCCAAAGCTCTGGAAACCTTATGAGGTGGCTTCCCAAGCAGGAGGGGGAGCTTCCCGGGGATCCCAGCCTTTTTTTGGGTGGTGGGGGGGTGATCACTTCAAGGGAGGGGAAAAAACCAGGCTAGCCCTACAAAACAGCCAGATCCTAAGAAGAGATTTGCACTAGCACCACACATGAAGGATTGTGCAAATTCACAAAGGCCACTGTTATATGCCCTCAATCTACAGTCACCAAGGAACTGGATATGTTGCACTGAAATAACCAGTGCTGGCTTGGTAATACCTTGTAAGGCCATGGTTCAGCAGGAATCAGACTAGTGTGGGGGGCTGTCTTGGCAGGAGGACAAACCCCTTCGAGGATAAGCCCCGAAGCGTCAGTCGCGTTACTTGCCCTTGGACTACAGTTCCCAGAATCCCCCTCCCCGCTGGGGATTCTGGGAGGTGTAGTACAACTGAAAGGAAGGGGGCCGTCGGGGGAGGGATAATTTAATTCGCCGCCGCCGCCAGGCCTCTTCTCTCCCCCTCCTTCCCTTCCCTTCCTCACCCATCGCCGGGACGAGGCGGCAGAAGGAGCGGCGGCGGCGACAGCGGTGGCGACCGAAGCCGCGGGGAACAAGATGGCGGGCAGGCCAGGCCAGGAGGCGACGGCGGCCGGCGAGGGACAAAAGAGCGCGCCGCAGCGCCCGGGCCCGCAAATCACGCGGCTCCGGCGCCCAGGAGCCAATCAGAGCGCCCCCGCGCGGAGGCGTTCCGGTTGTTTTCAAGAGGAAGACTACAATCCCCAGCAGCCCCCGCGGCCTGTGGGGGGGGGGCGAGAATCCTCAAAGATCTCTAAAAGGGATCTCCAGTGATTTGAGAAGCCAAAGCCAGAAAGACTTGCTTCCCTTTGTCCTCTGGCCCAAAATGCACTCGTGTTTGCTGCAATCTCTCTCTCTCTCTCAATACATATATTTATTTTAAAAAATTTTAGCCGGACCATTACCAGTGGCTTCTGGGTGGTGTACAACAATATTAAAACTTAAAAACATTAAAAAGACTATATAAAATATCCTATATTAAAACAGTTCTTAAAACATTAATATAAGTCCTGCTGCTCATGTGGTCAGTTAGAGAATACTGTAGGTCTCTAGCCTGTTTCCCGGAAAGTAAGCCCTAGCAGGATTTTTCAGGATGCTTGCAATATAAGCCAAGCCCTACCAATAAGCCCCTGTTAAATGAAACCTCGCCCTCCAACCTTGTGCAGCAACCAGAAGATGATGACATGCCTGTCTTTGAATAAATATAGATTGTTTTAATTAAAAAAATAAAATAAAAACATCCCCTGAAAATGAGCCCTAACACATTTTTGGAGACGAAAATTAATATAAGACCCTGTCTTATTTTCGGTGAAACGAAGGGGGTCTACCTACATGTCTTATAATGTCTTTCATCCCTCCTTCCCTCTCTCTGCATCCATTTACCTTCTATCTCACAAAGAGTATTTATTTAAAATATTTTTACCCCATCTTTCTCCTTAAAAGGACCCAAGGCAGCTTACACGGTTAAAAGGATAAGATTTAAAAGCAGCAAGTACACAAATATTTTTTTTATTTAAAAAAAGAATTAAAGTATTTCATTAAAAACGGTCGGCCAAAATCAAAACCCGCTGGCAAAGCCAACAGAGCACAACTGTTTCACAATTGCTTTGCTCAGGTCGAGTCAATATCTGGCCCTCCCTTTTATTCAGGGGCATTTCCAGCATCTGGAAGTGTGCATTTTCTCAGGGAAGGGGCACAGCGGCATAGCAACAGCTGGAGGGGTGGGAAACGGCAAAAGGCTCACCTACAGTGACCCTTTCCTTTGCCACTTACAGCAGGAGAAAGACAGCCTATAAGTAAAACAAAATAAATACAATAAATAATGTTACTAAAGTTGTCCTGATGCTATTTTAATGTGATTTAAAATAAAACCTCTCTCTGCCTACCACCGAGAGAATTTGTTAGCGTGTTTATAAAAGTTACAGCTAATTAAAATAAAACTCCTATTGAGTGGAGCAGTCTTCTTTGGCTCCGTGCTTAATGTCTGGAAGAGGCTGGAACCCATGCTTTCCAATAAAAAACTACAGGTGTCTCTTGGGAAAGCTGCTCCTTTCCCAGATTATCTGGAGCTTCTCGTGACCAAAACTTTCAGACAACAGTTGATCGGACATTTAGGAGTCCAGCAGCAACCAAGCAGGATGTAAACATTTGCTGTCTCCCCCACACCTTAAAAATAAACGTCTTTTCCTTTATTCTTTCAAACAACCAGTTATGAGCAGAGAAGGTTGAAGGTGACAATATTTTCGGGGCTGAAAACCGGTCTTTTACTGTTTCTCAGATCTCCCAACACTACAAGGGTTATATCTTCTCATCAATACCAAAGCTGAATTGCGGAGCTGGACGACAAAAGTTCAGACGAAAGGCTCAAAATAATTAAATGATTACCACGAGATTGTGCTTTATTTAAAAAACAGAGTGCCTTTATTAAAACGTAGTCAAAGCTAGAGAACAGACTCAAACGGTATCCGGGTCCCATGCACTCTTTGCTTAAGTGACAAAACAAGCAAAGAGGCAGTTTCCAGAAACCAGTGTGATCAAACACGAAAAGGCCCAAGTAAACGTCTCCTTAGGCTACGACTCAACAGTACTTCATGGAAAACCTGAAAATCATTTCCACAATCGTATCTGACTGCCCGGTACATTACGAGAACCTTTGCCAGCAAAGGGCTTCAATTCAACAGGATGCTGATGAGAGCATCCGTCTTCCACCTTTCTTCCCTGAAGTCTTTGGCGGTGCTGAGAGGGCAAATCCCTTCCTCCCTGGGGTACTAGAAAACACATTTGCACCTCATGTTTTAGATCTTCATTTGTCAACACTACCAGTTTCAGCAAGAGTCCCCAGGACTGTTCAATTAAAAAAAAATTTTTTTTTTGAATCCCAACTGCAGAACACAGGTATTACAAATTTTCCTGGACTACTTCTTGGTAACAGTACACATTATTTAAGAGTGCCTCCAAGCCATCTCCTTGGATTTGAAGATTCCACCTAGGGGAGAAAAAAAGAGAAAGCTAATGATACCCAACACAGAATCAGCCATCATCTTGCAATCACCATATGACAATGGGTCTAAAACGGTGGCTTATGGATCGTGCCTTTAAGACCCACAGGTACAAACTTACGAGATCACGCTGCCTCTGATAACCGACCAAGACCTTCCCATCTGTGCTGCATTCTCAGCCTGCACACCCAGAATTCTTTCTCATTCTAAAAAGCCACGAGGCTTCAGAAAGGAGAATACAGTGTGGTGCCTCGCTTAGCAATCGCTCCGTTGAGCAACGAAATCGCTTAGCGACGGAGTTTTTGCAATAGCAAAAGCGATCGCTTTGCGATGGTCCCTATGGGTTTTTTTCGCTTTGCGATGATCGCAGGGAAGCGATCATGGCAAAGCGACCCTTTTTTAACAGCTGATCGGCGGTTTCAAAATGGCCGCCCGCTGTGTTTCCTCACTTTAGAGGCACCGAAAATGGCCGCCCCTATGGAGGATCTTCGCTTAAAGGTTAGTTTTTAGCTCATAGGAACGCATTAAGTGTTTTAATGCGTTTTTATGGGCTTTTTAATATCGCTTAGCGATGAAATCGCTTAGCAACGGTTTTTCCGGAACGGATTAACGTCGCTAAGCGAGGCACCACTGTAAAGTCAACTGCAGTACTGCAGCAAAGACTCTGCTCACAGTCTGAGTTCAATCCCAGGCTCAGGTAGTCAGCTCAAGGTTGACTCAGCCGTAAAAAACGAGTTAGTTAAAAGCTACAGGACTATTTTGTTTTAATTACACTACATTAAGTTATCCTTCTGATGCCACTAGAGGGAGATATTCCATTACTTATTAGCTAACTTGTGAACAAAAGGGGACCACGTGCCACCCTTCAGCAGCCATCTTGGCTCAGGACTCTTGTCAAAAGCGAAGGGAATTCCAGAGTTCCTCAAAGACTTCTTTCCAAGACTTTGGGAGAGGCGGCGACGGCTGTACTGGATTCTCTCCCATGGAACAAGCTCCTCACCCCCAGGACTGCTGCAGAACCCATGGCTCTGGCAGCAACACGAGCGTGCTCTGCAATGCAAATATGGTGGACCAGGTCCATAGACATTTTTAACTTGCTGGGGCGGAGGGGGAGCAACGATTGTTGCCACAAGGAATCAGCCTTGACAAAAGCGCTTTCCTCCCCCCCAACATGTAAACAAGGTGTGCGGGGAGTGTGCATCTTGTTTCTAAACTGGACGGGGGTTCCTAGAGCAGGCTTGATGTTGGGAAAAAAACTTTTTTTGTTTGTTTCAAAGCATTGCATGTATGTTGCCCAACGTCTCTGATCTCCAGCAGCACCGCTGAGACATTTCCCAGCCTTCCTAGTCCAAAATATTTCAGCAACTGTTTAGGGCTCTTCTAGTTTTATCTCCCAGACTGGCCATTACTGGTTCAGTGTCCATGAGGGGACCCACGGGGCGAACAGAAGGACCTGCGAGCAGCAGCGACTTCCCAGAATCATGCCTTCTGCCCGGCTTGTTGGATATTTCAGCCATTTCATTTTCTGTTCCTTCAGACAGTCTCCAGTTGTTATCTGCCTCCCAAATCTTTAGCAAAGATGACAATTATTATTACTGCATTATTGTTTTTAAAAAGGGGGCCGTGCAAGACGGTGGTTGCTGGCAACATCCGCATGAACCTACAGCTCCAGAGTAGACACTATGGTAGCGCTTTCTGTGGGCTAGGAACAGGGGGATTAGGTGGACTCATGGTACGGATAGGTTCCAGCTCCCATCAGCCCCACCAGTGTGGCTAATGTCAAGGGGTGATGGGAATTGTAGTCCAAGCTATCTGCACGGCCATAGGCTTTCCAACCCGGCTGAAATTCTGTAATCACATGGGAAACTTTAGGTGATAACAACACAGTATTATATTTGTGGAAGTTTAGTTCTGTTGTATAAACTTACTCCCCAAATATGCAAGGTTCTGTACAGGATGCAAAACTCAGGGTTTTGTTTTTTTTTTAATACATTTTTTCTTTAGGAACATACTCAGCCATATTCACGAAGGCTTTCATGTCCGGGATCCAATAGTTGTTGTGGGTTTTTCGGGCTCTTTGGCCGTGTTCTGAAGGTTGTTCTTCCTGACATTTCGCCAGTCTCTGTGGCCATGGGCATCTTCAGAGGACAGGAGTAGGAACTCTGTCCAATCTCTGCACCAACAGAACATGGACAGAGTTCCAACTCCAGTCCACTGAAGAGGCCGGCCACTGAGACTGGTGAAACGTTAGAACCACCTTCAGAACACGGCCAAAGAGCCTGAAAAACCCCAACAACCATACTCAGCCGTGTTTATCCTTCTGCTCACCCCATCACTGATCTCCTTTCCAAAGTCAAAACTGGACGACAACTGAGTGCTAGTAATTAGTGAGCCAAAATTACTGTCCTTGCAAATAGTGATTTACTGGAGCCGTTGGTTCCAGAAGCAGACAGGTAAAAACAGCTGAAAAGCATACATACCCAGTGAGTTCTCAACCAATGTTGTTTTCAGCCAATGGGCAGCTCGCCTCCTGCAAACGGAAAAAAGAGAGTAAGTCCCCCTCAGAACTGTGCAAAAATCAAAACAAAACTTTGACAGAAATATTTGCATGCAATTGAAACACTTCAGGAAAAAAAAGAAAACATGCAACTTAACACCTAAAGACTGGAAATTTCAATATAGTGAACAGCAATACTGGGCCATTAAAGGGCTGTGGATTTACTTGAATTAATTGAGCAGATTTTGTTGGCAAACAGAGAGGACTGGCTACATCCATTTTTAAAATATATATTTAAAGTCTGATTCTTTCTGTTTTTTTTTTTTTGCCCAAAGTTACGGTTTGTTGTATTGACAAAAGGGCACAAGGATTAAAACATTATCACTAATTTATGCAAAAGCAAGTGGATGTATTTTAAGTTATCTATTTTTAAACCATCTTTTTTAAAAAAAAAACAAAAAATTTTACATGAAAATTAACACGTGAAGAACTTCTTCAGTAATAATAGTAATTAAAAAAAGAGTTTATGCAAGTTGCTGTCACAGTTTATGTAAAAAAGAAATGTGCTATTAAAATTAGACATTTAGGTTACCTTTTTGAGTTTTTCGGTGCATGTTAGCTTTACATCCTGAATTCTCCTGCGATAACTTTTCCTTTAAAAGGGGGTTTTTTGGGCGATCTTTTCATCAAGCAAGACATTAAACCCTGAAAGCTGACTCCAAACCGTTGCGGAAAATTCAGTTATTTACATTTTTTTTAAAATAACAATCTAAACATACAACCTTTTTTGTGTTGTTGTTTTTTTGGCTTTTAAAAGGATTTTTCCTCGATCATGCAGGAACAGTGGACTTTTTCTTTTTTTTTCACCCCCAAGCAGTTTTTATCCCAGCAAATATCCAATTTTAAAATTCTGCCAACTAGGGAGATTACAAACAACGCCTCCCCCCCAAACTGGACGTAAAGGCATCTGTTATTACGCCAGGCTTCAGAACAGCAATTCAGCTGTGCAGCCTGCGGTGATTTGCACCTTCCTTCCGGGCAGGAAACCTTGTCCTCTCTTTTTCAATCTCTCTTTCCCCCTCGGAGGCCACAAATCGCTAACAGGGGGAATTACGTGGACAGGCTGGCTGTTTGCAAAGCTGTACTATGTGCCTTCTTTAATGGCTCTTGCGAAGAATCTGCCGGCAACCTGCGTAAGCCACCGCTTGTGCTCTGAAATTGCTCTGGAACCCAGGCAGTCATCTCGAGAGAAGCAAAATCTGCAGCCACATAACAAGGAAGGTTACGTTTCTATTTTTTTTTTCTTTTAAAAAAAAGGCTTTTGAAGATTCTAGGAAAAGTGCACTACGCTAATTTGACAAAGCAACGCCTACTTTTGGATCAACCCTGTCCGCCTCTCTCCGGAGAGGGTGCAATCCATGGGGCACATTCCTTACACAAGTGTGTCGCCAAAGGGAAACGGGGGCTTGTTAAAGAATGTCGCTGTGTCCTTTTGAGATCAGCAGCAGCTCCAGAGGCACAGGCATAAAAGCAGCTGCCTGGAGGGGCTCGAGATTAAAAAGCCAGCCGATGGGTCTCAACAGCTTGGCAAAACGGACCACTGGTATAACCGCTGCCATGCAAAGCCCAGTTTCTGGCACCACTGCTCAACTTCCAGGGGGTGAAAAACAATTTTGTATTAAAACTTAAGCTCACTCGGCTCAGTAGTTTAAAAAAAAAATTGGAACACACCATTTTAAACAACACCTTGGATTTTAGTTGTCTTT